CCATATATGATAAACCCACAGCCCACATCATACTTAACAGTGAGAACTGGAAGGAAGCTTTTTACCTAACATTGGGAACCAGACAGGGATAACCACTCTCCCCACTTTTACTCAACATAGTACTGGATGCCCTAGCTATGGCAATGAGACAAAACAAAGAAACAAAAGGCATCCAGATTGATAAGAAGCCAAACTTGTCACTAATTGCTGATGACATGATATATACATATTTTTTATTTTGGTATCATTAATCTACAATTACATGCACAACATTTTGGTTACTACTCCACCCATCATGAAGTCCCCCCACATACCCCATTACAGTCACTGTCCATCAGCATAGTAAGATGCTGTAGTCACTACTTCTCTTCTCTGTGCTGTAAAGCCCTCCCCATGCCCCCACATTGTGTCTGATAATCATAATGCCCTTTTCCCCGCTTGTCCCACTCTTCCCACCCGTCCTCCCCAGTCACTTTCCCTTTGGTAACTGATGGTCCATTTTTGGGTTTTGTGAGTCTGCTGCTGTTTTGTTTCTTCATATTTTTACTTTGTTTTTATACACCAGGAGTGTAATCACTGTGAAGCAGTCTATGGGATAATCTGAGCTGCCATGGGAGGGGTTGCCCTGAGGCTAGCCTATACAACACTGCAGGGGGTGGCAGACACGCCTGGTGTGCTCTCTGAGAACAGCACCCTTCCATGCCTTCTGGACCTTGCTCCAGCTTCCACTGCCTGTCCTGGCTAGCTGCATGCTTGGAGAAGACTCTGTGTAGTTGCTGGGGGCAGGGTTGCTCTCTGGCTGTTTTGCAGCTTTGGTGCATCAGTAGGTCTGCTTGCAGTGCCGGCCAGGGGGAATGAATGGCAGGATGCTTATCACTGTGAGGAGCTTCAGGGCTGTTTGACTCCCCAGAGACTTAGGGGGCCCGAAGTTCCTCAAGATTCCCAGCCTTCTGTGCTGAGTGTGCTGGGATGATTTCATTCAACTGTTGTGCCCTTGTCCCTCTAAAACTTTTAAAACACACCTGCTTTTGTCTTGTCCCAGGGGAGCTGATGGTGGGGAGCCACTTGCAGTCTCCAGCTCAGACCCTACCCTTCCATTTCTCTAATATTGAGCACAGCATGCAATGTGTGTCTGTGCTCCTGGTGTAGATTACTAGGGCTGGTTATTTAGTAGTTCTGTGCATCCACTCCCTCCCCACTCCAACTCCTTTTCTCTCACCAGTGAGCTGTGGTGAGGTGAGTGCTCGGGTCCCACTGTGTCATGGCTTTGTATCTTACCTGCTTTATGAGAAGTTGAGTAAAAAGCCTGGCTGTTTTACTATGTCCTCTGGTCTTTCTTTTAAGAATAGTTGTATTTGTTCTATTTTCAGAAGTATATATGCTTTTGGGAGCTGTCCATCGCCCTACTCATGCCACCATCTTGAGTCCCTTACTTTTAGATGATCATATGGTATGTAAAAAACCCTAAAGACACCATTCCAAAATTTCTACAACTACTATGTGAATTCAGCAAGGTTGCAGATACAAAATCAATACACAGAAATCTGTGCCTTTCCCATATACAAATGATGAACTAGCACATAGAGAGACCAGGAAAACAATTCCATTCACAATTGCTCAAAAAGAATAAATTACCTAGGAATAAACCTAAGGAAATGAAAGATGTATACCCTGAAAAGTACAAGACCTTCTTAAGAGAAATTAAAGAATACACTAGCAAATGGAAACTCATCCCATGCTCTTGTGTTGGAAGAATTAATATGGTCTAAATGGCCTAAAGCAATCTACAGATTCAATGCAGTCCCTATCAAAATACAAACAGCATTCTTCAACAAACTGGAACAGTTCTAAGATTCATATGGAACCACAGAAGACCTCGAATAGCCAAAGCAATGCTGAGAAGGAAGAATAAAGCAGGGGGAATCTCGCTTCCCTACTTCAAGCTTTACTACAAAGTAATCAAGGCAATTAGGTAGGGTATAAGAACAGATCCACTGACCAAGCTGAAAAGCTTCTGTACAACAAAGCACACCATCAATAGAACAAAAAGGCATCCTACAGTATGGGAGAATGTATTCATGACATATTCGATAAAGGGTTGACACCCAAAATACATAAAGATCTCACACACATCAACAAAAGATTATCCAATTAAAAGATGGGCACAGGATCTGAAGACACTTCTCCAAAGAGGAAATTCAGATGGCCAACAGAACACATGAAAAGATGCTCCACATAGCTGATCATTAGAAAAACACAAATTAAAACCACAATGAAATGTCACCTCATACGACTTAGGATTGCCACCATCCAAAAGACAAACAAGAACAAATGTTAGTGAGGATGTGGAGAAAGGGGAACTACACTGCTGGTAAGAATGTAAATTAGTTCAACCATTGTGGAAAGCAGTATGGAGGTTCCTCAAAAAACTCAAATAGAAATATCATTTGACCCAGGAATTCCAATCCTAAGAATTTACTCTAAGAATGCAGGAGTCCAGTTTGAAAGACATATGCACTCCTATGTTTAAGGCAGCACTATTTACAACAGCCAAGAAATGAAAGCAACCTAAGTGTCCATCAGTGGATGAATAGATACATATACACAATGGAATATCATTCAGCCATAAGAAGAAAAGAGATCCTACGACTGCAACATGGATGGAGCTACAGGGTACTATGCTCAAATAAGCAAGGTGAAAAAAGACAAGTATCAAATGATTTCACTCATCTGTGGAGTATAAGTACAAAGAAAAACACTGAAGGAACAAAACAGCAGGAGACTCACAGAACCCAAGAATGGACTAATGGTTACCAAAGGGAAAGGGACTGGGTAGGATGGGCGGGGAGGTATAAGGGTGGGGATAAAGAAAGGGGGCATTACGGTTAGCATGTATAATGTGGGGGGGGGGCACGGGGAGGGCTGTGCAACACAGAGAACACAAGTAGTGATTCTACAGCATCTTACTACGCTGATGGACAGTGACTGTAATGGGGTATGAGGTGGGGCCTTGATAATAGCAGGAGTCTAGTAACCATAATGTTCCTCATGTAATTGTACATTAATGATACCAAAATAAAGAAAAAAAGAAAAGTTCATAAATACTGCTAATACTTATAGTATTTGTTTCCTTATAGCTGATTTCTAACTTTTCTTGACTTTTATTATCAGACATTTGGATAGAAGCATAGGTAAGAGAGAAACAAAAATACTTGAAATTAAAATATCTGGGTGGCACTTTGTACTTTTCATCCTTAACTAAAATAGAGTTGTTTTTATTTACTTCAGAAATTATTTATTGTGATTATTAAGATTTAGGTTACTGAAAAAGTATTTCCTAATTTAATAAAATATCTGCTAGGTATTGTTTATAAACCTATCTCTAGGAAGCCAAAATAGTAAAGAATTGTTTGAAAAAGTACGTCATTAATACAATCATCAAGGCATTTCATTAGATATAACTGTAAATTTTCTTTAGAAAATATGCATCACTTTATTTATAGTGCTCTTTTTCTGAAGAATTCTTAGAAAGAAGAATGTAATAAAATGAAAATAGAGGTCAAATTCTTCAGAAAATAGTTATAAAAAAAGTCTTATAAAGTGAGATACTATGGTTAATTAAAATTTGTTCATATGAAATAATAATCTTCATAGAACTTGTTAAAATTCACTAGTGATACAGAATCTGAACTGCCTTCTCCCTTCTCTCCTTGGTCAATACCACACAAGTGGAAATCATGGAATTTCAGTCATGTAAATCTTTAAAAAATAAGTCACTAAATATGTATTTGTTCTCTAAAGCAGGAGCCATCATTCTGAATATTTTTTCCATGATAAGCAAGTGATAAACAGTATTTATCATACCTATGTTCCCATTAAAATATTAATATCTGATTCCCACTATACCTTGTGCCAGGAATTGTTTATTGGTTATCATTGCTATAAGTGCAATTTAATAAACCAGACAAAAAGACATTACTTTAAAAATAAGCACACCTTTGTAAGTAGCATTTTACAGTAGGCACCTAAAAAACTATCATAAATGTGAAAACACAAGTTTGCTTTCTCTTTATACAATTACATATTTATATTTCTATATATATTGATGTTATACATTTGTGTGCATATATATGTACATATAAATATATAATCAGATTTGAAAATGAACCAAGTTAGTTTTAACAGAATCTCTCTTTAAAAGTCAAACAGTGGAAAACCCTTCAAACATTAAACAATTTTAATAAAAGTTTCTGTACAATGCTAAGCAGTTTTATTTACACATAGAAAATGTAAAAGGAGTAGTGTATAAATTACAGAACTCCTTAATATTTAGTAAGTAAATCTCAAATGAAAATAGCATTCCATTTAAATATTTTGAAGTGATAAATATGTATTTATAAATAGTGTAAAATTATAAACCAAATCACAAATCTGAAGTTGTATTCTGTAGTCTGTGCAATCTATTATTGTCTTTGTGTCTTGGGTATTTGGATATTAAAATTTTTTCAAGGTTTTGTTTTGGAAACAAAAACATTATCATTGTAGCCTGAAAACAATACAGAAAATCACAAAGCAGTATAAAAACTCTCATCTAATTTTCACATTAAAAAATGGTTGGTCTTTAAATCTGTTAACTGGCTTACCACATGAATGGCCAACTAACAAAGTATTTTTTTCCCAGGAAAACTGTGAAAGTGTAAAATACAGACAAAACTAACTAATCAGTTTAGAAATAAGGAAACAGAAAGGTTGTCTTCAAGTCAGTAGTCTGACACTGCCAGTTTGATCAGGTATCATGAAATGTGATTGCAGGTATAGTATAGCTGGATCAGCTTTGTGAAAGTCTTGGAATAGAGGCAATACTCTTTGACTTCCAGCTGGTTGACTCTGTTCTTGAGAAGTTCCATTGACATAGGTTTCTGTTAGTCTTACTTAACAGCTACAAATCTAGTGGTGCAGAACTTTCCTGAAGAGCAGAAAAGGTGCCATTTATTTTTCATGGGGCAATATCATGAAGAGGAGCGTGATAATGAAGGAGCCTAAAATTACAAATAAGGTATGTTAATTGCATTCTGTAGCTCATGGACATCAACATAGAGCTTGCTTACAAAGTGAGTTAAGAAACACCAATCTCAAGAAAATTATCAGCCTGCTAACTGACGTGCTCCTCTTAATGACTCCAGTGGGACCAGTTTCCTAGAAGTTCAAAATCATTCCTCTCACTTTTCTTTTCTTCACTATTTAGTCAAAAAACCCCACTGAACATTACTAAATGGCCCAATTTTTTAGAATGCAAAAAGAGACTTTTGAAAAGTGATTTTAAAATTCAATAAACTTTCACTGTGATTACAATGGACAATTTACTTCTCAGTTAATTAGTTTTCACATACTTATCCTAATGTTTGCTTTTTAAAGCAACCCCAAGAACCAATTGGTTAAAACATCAGAAACTATATTTCAAAACTTAATATTGATAATTCATGAATAATTGTGTTTCCATTCATAAAGCCATTAAAAGCCAGAAAAATTTCCAAAGCAACTTATCCTATAACTAAAACTATAGAATTTATGATATTGTGAATTTAATTTCATGCACTTTATTTTTCATAACATGGAATCAAGAATTATCAAATATTTTAATGAATGTAATACAGCAAGGAATAGGTTTTAAATAAATACAATTAACTCTGAAAGCACAAGTGAAAAAAATACTGATTTCATTTTGGATCATCCCTAAAGAATGAAATAACATATGGTTTTATCAGTTAAGTCAAACAGCATAAAGACCGTGGTAATATTCTACAAGTACATAAATACTTTAAAATGTAATTATTTTAATTATTATTTAGACCTCACCAAAAAGAAAAATGTAATATGTATCAATTTGATAGAAATAATGCTTTGAAGAACACAGGTATATTTTTTTTCTTATGCAGTATCTTTTGAGCCAGTGGAAAATCTAAGTATCTTTTTAATTCCTTTTTTAACAAGTAGCAAAAACAAACACTGCTGCTTCACAATCCAGACTGTACTCACATGTTGAATTCACTTACTAATGTAAATTGGTCATAGACTTGCATCAGATCCTCTATTTTGTACTGTTCCAGTACCACAAAATTTTCCAGATTGCTGCTTGTTTTTTCTGCACAATCTTGGCAATGTATTATGTAGGTCTTTTGAGAATTGCTTTCCTTAGTAATGAAAAGCAGATTGAAAACTTCCACCTATTTTATGTAATGGAAAGAACACTGAATTGAGACAGATAGTTGAATTTATTGCACAACTTATCATTTCTATGGAATTCCGCTTTATAGGAAATTGTGGACAGTAATTTTTAGATTAAAGGCAGGTACTTAATAAAAAAAGTCATGGTCATTAGTCTGAGACACAAAGTTTACTCTATAGCATACCAAAGACAAGGGTAATGTTACATATTTAGAGCCTGATGTAAAGGAAGTAAATATGCATTACAACTACTAACGTTTAGCTGAACATTTGGTAAGGGTCAAAGTTAAGGATGATTTTTAAAAATTGAAATACAGCTTATATACAATATTAGTTTTAGATGAACAATTTAGTGATTCATGAATCACCATGGTTAAGTGCAGTTACCATCTATCACTATATACAGAGGTATAGTACTATGAGCTGTAGTTTCTAAACATCCTTCCATCTTGATGACTCAATTATTCTATAATCTGGAGTTTGTACATTTTTATCACCTTCACCTATTTTCCTCCCATGGTAACCTCTTGTCTGTTCTCTGTGTTTATGAGTCTATTTTTGGTTTGTTTGTTTATCTCTTGTCTCAGAAACCACATAAAAGTGAAACCATATGGTATTCGTTTTTCACTAACTGTAGATAAGCTGTTTTAAATTTACGTCAAATACAAGTACCCAATTAACTAAAAGTGATGATTACTATGTTTTATTTCTTTATGACAAAATACATAGTGTTCTGTCTTTGAATGTTTGCCCCCCCTCTCAAGACTGAGCTCAAAGGTAATAACTATTTTATTCACTTCTGGACCTCCAGCACATATCATAATGCTTAATGTTTAATCACAGCTGAAAAAGAAGAAAAAGGACACCTTAATGAGTGTAGTATTACTTTCAGCAGCATGAAACTCATAGATGAGTAACAAGTGTTCAGTTCTAAGCCTCACATATTAAGGAAAATAAATATATCGAGTGTATGCATGAGCATTAACATACCAGGAGAAATAGCAACATTTTACACAGAAAGAATATGAGTTTGCAAAGGCTTAGCCAGGATAATGGATAATTGATAAAACAGTTGTTTTCAAATACTGAAAAGATACTGTATTTATCTGAAATATAACACCTAATGGAATACCTTTGATCTTATAATAATATACTTTTTGAAAGGAAAGGAGCGACACACAGCGGCAATTCACCGGAGAATTCTGCTTTGTTAGGGAAAGGTGCTGGAAGGGGCTTGAGCTGATTGAGGTGTCACTTCTATGGGGCTGGTGGCTGTTGGCTAGGTGCTGTGAGTTGGTCTTCAGGTGGCGCTGGCGGGAACTGAGGACCCGGAAGAGAAGCCGGAAGTTCGCTATCTTACTGGTGGGGGCCCTTCACTTTTAACATTAAAATAGCCAATGGATTTAATCAGTTTATCAAATTACCCAATATCATGGTTTAGGTTAGACCTTCAATTAGTCCTCTTGAGTTCTGCTTGACTTCTTCAGTGATAAAAACTCATCACCTCAAATTATCTTTTAACAGTTGCTAAAATTTTTGAATTCATAAGGTTCTATAGTACCATCTGTAATACAGTTTAGCAACTCCAGTTTTAACTGGCCTTCTTCAACTTGATGACAAGTATCCTGTTGACTTTTTCTAAATGCTTTTAAAACTTTTTCCTTTCTAACACAATATGCTGGCAAACCCTCAGAACTTCTCTTAATACCATTTCAATACCTTCCAAACTGACCTCCAAAATGACTTTTTTACTTTCACCCCTTCCACTTATCAACTAACCCTCTTTCAAATGCCTATCTTGACTAGGCTCTTGCTCAAAACCTTTTAGTGGCTTTAATGACCTCAGAATGAACATCAAATTCCTTAAATTCAATACAAAATGTCCCAAATGCTGCATGCCAAGCAAGTCTTACAGACTTTTAAGAATTTGCAGTTCGATTTTTGCCACTTTTTGCTTTTTTATTACATACACTACTCTATTTCTCCAACTGTACACTATTTCTAAAGACTAAAGATGTTTTGATAGACCTCCAATTCTAGCTGCTTTTTGCCTGTTAAAATCAAACTCATTTTTCAAGGCCTCAAAACTAAGATGATAAGCTCTAATGGCAATATTAGAAGAAATGTAACTTTTCCTTGTTTCTATAGTAATCTGTATTTATGTCCAAATTCACACTCATCACAATCTTATGTGCACCTACAATTAATTGTTTAAAATTTGTACTTTCAAGCAGAACACAAGCTCCTCTAGAGGAAGTACCATATCTTTATTTTGGAACTTCTAACAAACCTTAGCCACAAGAGAAAATGAGCATATAGATTATGGAATGAACTAGAAAGGACATAATACTGATCTGCCTGGATCTGTACCCTAAGAAACAGTGTAATTTATATAATGATTTTAAAACCCTAAAACCAAAGCAGAAAATTCTGAATTTATTAGAGGACATACACCTAGTGTGCTGAGATCTGTAATTATTGTGGGTTGTTCCTTATTTAAAACCTAAGATGATTATCATTTCATAAAGAAGACTACATGAATACCTCTATAGGAGTTAACCTATATATTAACCTCTGAGTTAATATACAGTTAATGAAATAATATACCATCAGATAAAAATGTAATACAATTGCTGTATCAGAAAATTTCAGTAAAATGCATTACATAAAAGTATACGGAAATTTGGAGTAATAATGTAAAAGCTCCAGAGAATATGTAACAACTGTAAATAATAATAGTTACCTCACAAATGATACAGTAATGTGCTGGTTCATCATTTGTCCGCCCATGCCATATAACCTTTTTTCCTGCTGTAATAAGAGCTTCCCTCAATGTCTGACATTGCTTTAGAATTTTCAGAAGACAATACCTGTTGTGGAGAAAAAGTATTTGCTACAATTGAATGCTGAATGTTCTTGGCATAAAAGATGTATAGATTAGAAATAACTTTGATAATGTTGGTTCTAAGGTCCATTGATGTAATTATTTGTTTTGTTATTTTTTCACTGTAGGAGACCTAATAATGACAACATTAAAGCATTTAAAGTGAGAATTGACATTAAATATAAAAATACAATGATGTAATCTACAAAAGCCCACTTATTTAAAGGTACGTTCTTAGTTTTTGCTTTGATTTGGGCAACCAAAGAGTACCTTTTTAAGAGTTTCCTCATCTTTGAAATAAATGACTTGAATTCCACATTGAACTGTTTTGACTACAGTAAGGTAAGAAGGCATATAATTTTACCTAGACCACAACAAACAGTATCATTTATACATATGATTTTAAAACTTTGAGACCAAAGGAGAAAATTCTGAGTTTATGATTAGAGGACATAAAATTTATAGTACAAGATAAAATAGTATCAGCTAAATTTTAATTTGAAGTAACATTAATGGAATCCATTTGTGTTAACATGAACTTTTAAAAATAATTTATACTTTTTCATATTTGAAACCAGTAAGACTGTATCAATTATTCTTTAATAATAAAAAAAAACTAAAGGAAAATATTTAGAATCCAGGACCAAAAAATAATAATTTATGCTTTCCTGATGCTCATACTTCTGATGCTAACAATACAGAGGATTCTAACAAACAGCACTAATTTTTCTGTGGTATGCTGTCAATGCACAGAAACACCTAATAAAGTTCCAATGCATTTAAGTGTCTTAAGCTCTCCTTAGAAAAGAGAGTTGAATTACATCTGTAAGATGTATTTTAGCCCTACAACTATCCTAAAAAAGTATTAAATTGGATTAACAAAATGATTTTAACATTTGTGAAATATTGTAAGTCCTTGTGTTCAGTACCAAACTTGGAGCTTCTTGTAACACTATATTGTTACTGACTTAGAATTTGGACTATTATTACATAACCTAATATTTGAAATAACTGATATCATGTTATAGGTATCTACAGCTACATTCTTTATCTGTTTACATGATGAAAGTCTTTTTTTTAGAACAGAATATAGACTGTAGGATTCAGTATCAGGAAAAGGCTTTGTCTTTTTGGACTCTGCCTTCCATAGAGAAATGCCTAATAAATATTGGAATACTATATGACTAAGTATGTTTAATAATATCATAGATTATAGACTTAAATTCCCTAAATTCATACTTCAGGGCCATTTGTTACTTGTTATATTAAAGTATCATACTTTTAATAAAACCCCACACAAATAAGCCACAGCAACTGATTGTAATAATATACAAAATTTGTAAATTTATTTAAAAACATAAAATAAGTACAGGTAAAGATACATGAAAATTTTCCTACTTTATGTTTGCCTATAGCAATTCTTCACTGCCCAGCTTATTTAGATATAAAGCCATGCATTACTCCATATTTGGATTTCAAAATAAGAAAAACTGTGTGTGTTATGTGTGTTTGATAGAAGTACCAAGGGATATAAAAGGTAAGATTCAATTCAGAAAAGAAAATATAAACCACACAAGATATGTAACACTTACTGAAGTTTTTTCCTCCTACCCTTCTCCAGTGTGATTTCATTCTCTGGAACTTCTGAAGCTCCACTTGAAAATATTTATTGCATGGGAAAAGAAGGCCTAAAACATTGCAAAACTTCATTTGTAGATGGAAAAATGCTTGTCAAATCAACAATGCTCCCATGTGGGAAAATAAAATATTAAGTAGCATTCATGAAGGCTTAGTACCAGAAAAGACAAGGAATTAGGTAGTACTACACATATTAGGTCAATTAAGTCTTGCTTAACACAGTGCAAAATGTTATTACCCATCCCAATTTATGAGAAGGAAAATAAAGCTTTAAGGTACAAATTTACCAGAAATGTTTTCTCACTACCTTCTCTTTAATTCTCTTCTTTATCTACCTATTAGCATCACCCACTCCACCCCGTTTTTTTTCCTCCTATGAAGATGAAATTAGTGGACTGTGAAAGGACATTTAGTTTTCCCACTTACTTGCAGTATTATGAAAAGAGCGTAATTCTGTGGTATTGTTTCACTTTTTACTGACTAAACTTTCATTTCTGACAGTATTAATAATTTTGGCAGTTAGATCACAGTTTTTGTACTACTTTATAACAAGTTTTAAAGTTTTATATAAAAAGAAGTAAGAGGTGGAGGCAAGATGGTGGTTTGAGTGGGGCAGCAAAAATCTCCCAAAACCATATATATTTTTGAAAATACAACAAATACAACTATTCCTAAAAGAGAGACCAGAAGACAGAGGACAACAGCCAGGCTACATCTACATCCACAAGAACTCAGCATCTCACCAAGGGAGTAATATACAAGCTGCAGCCAGGCAGGACACAAGCGCACCCACACCCCAGCTCCTTGGTGGGAGGAGAGGAGTCAGAGCAGAGAGGGAGTGGAAACACCGAACACCTAAATACCCAGCCCAAGTTATCTGCACTGGGAGTGCAGAGACACAGTGCATGGTGTGCTGGATACTAGTGAAACATAACAGTAAAACATGCAAGTGGGTCCCCACAGCAAGTGCCCCTGGGACAAAAGAAAAATGAGTGCTTTTTAAAAGTCTTAAAGGGACAGGAGCTGTAGATGGAAGCTCTCCTAAGGCTAAATAGATGTCACCAGAGAAAATAAAATCACAGCAAAGAAAGCAGACCAACCAAATAGTAACTAAAGACAAAAAATAAAATCAACTAACCACAAAAGCAATCAAAGGAAACACAAAAGAGCGCAGAATAGAACATCTAACATATAAAGAATGGAGGAGGAGGAATAAGAAGAGAGAGAAATAAAGAATCATCAGACAGTATTTACAATAGCTCAGTAAGTGAGTTAAGTTAGACAGTAAGATACTAAAGAAGCTAACCTTGAACCTTTGATAACCATAAAACTAAAGCCTGCAATGGCAATAAGTACATATCTTTCAATAATCACCCTAAATGTAAATGGACTGAGGCACCAATCAAAAGACACAGAGTAAAAGAATGGATAAAAAAGCAAGAACCATCTATATGCTGTTTACAAGAGACTCACCTCAAGCCCAAGACATGCACAGACTAAAAGTCAATGGATGGAAAAAGAAATTTCATTCAAACAACAAGGAGAAAAAAGCAGGTGTTCAGTACTAGTATCAGACAAAATAGACTTCAAAACAAAGAAAGTAACAAGAGATATAGATGAACATTACATAATGATAAAGGGCTCGGTCCAACAAGAGGATATAACCATTATAAATATATATGCACCCAATACAGGAGCACAAGCATATGTGAAACAAATATAAACAGAATTAAAGGAGGAAATAGAATGCATTGCATTCATTTCAGACTTCAACCACCACTCACTCCAAAGGACAGATCCATGAGACAGAAAATAAGTAAGGACACTGAGGCACTGAACAATACACTAAAACATATGGCCAATAGACATCTAAATAACCCTACACCTGAAAGCAGCAGGGAACACATTCTTCTCAAGTACACATGGAATATTTTCCAGAATAGACCACATACTAGGCCACAAAAAGAGCCTCAGTAAATTGAAAAAGACTGAAATTCTACCAACCAACTTTTCAGACCACAAAGGTATAATACTAGAAATAAACTGTAGAATGAAAACAAAAAAGGCTCACAAACACATGGAGGCTTAAAAACATGCTTCTAAATAATCAATGGATCAACTACCAAATTAAAATAGAGATCAAGGAATGTCTGGAAACCAATGACAAAAACACAAAGCCACAACTACTGTGGGACACAGTGAGAACAGTTTAAGACGAAAGTATATAGCAGCCCAGGCATATTTAAAGAAGGAAGAACAGTCACAAATGAATAGTTTAAAGTCAAAATTATCAAAATTGGAAAAAGAAGAACAAATGAGGCCCAAAGTCAGGAGAAGGAGGGACATAATCAAGATCAGAGAAGAAATAAATAAAATTGAGAAGAACAAAATAATAGAAAAAAATTAATGAAATCAAGAGCTGGTTCTTTGAGAAAATAAACAAAATAGACATGCCTCTAGCCAGAATTATAAAGAGAAAAAGAGAATCAATACACATCAATAGAATCAGAAACAAGAAAGGAAAAATCATGACGGACCCCACAGAAATACAAAGAATTATTAGAAAATACTATGAAAAACTATATGCTAACAAGCTAGAATACCTAGAAGATATGGACAACTACCCAGAAAAATACAACACACTAAGACTGTCCAAGGAAGGAACAGAAAATCTAAACAGACCAATTACCAGCAAAAAAATTGAAGTGGTAATTCAAAAAACTACCCAAGAGCAAATGCCTGGGCCAGATGGATTTACCACAGCATTTCTTCACACATACATGGAAGACATAATACCTGTTCTCCTTAAAGTTTTCCAAACATAGAAGAGGAGGGAATACTCACAAACTCATTTTATGAAGCCAAATCACCCTAATTCCAAAATCATGCAAAGACCCCACCAAAAAGAAAATTACAGACCAATATCCGTGATGAATGTAGATGTAAAAATACTCAGCAAAATATTAGCAAACCGAATTCAAAAATGCATCAACAGGATTATACACCATAACCAAGTGGGGTTCATCTCAGGGAAGCAAGGATGGTTCAACATACGAAAATCCATCAACATCATCCGCCATGTAAACAAAAAGGACAAAAATAGCCAGATCATATCCATACATGCTGAAAACGCATTCGACAAAATTCCACATCCATTCATGATAAAAACTCTCAACAAAGTAGGTATAGAGGGCAAGTACCTCAACACAATATAGGCCATATATGATAAACCCACAGTAAACATCATACTTAACAGCAAGAAGCTGAAATCTTTTCCTCTAAGATCAAAAACAAGACAGGGATGCCCACTCTCCCCACTGTTATTCAACATAGTACTGGAGGTCCTAG